TTGAATTGTAAAAAATGGTCTTTTGGCGAATTGTAAAAAAAAGACTTTTGACATTATCATTTAAATTGTAAAAAATAAACTTTTGGCGTGAATTGTAAAAAAAGACTTTTGACATTATCCTAATAAATCATTTAAATTGTAAAAAATAGACTTTTGGCATGATTTTTGAATTGTAAAAAATGGTCTTTGGCGAATTGTAAAAAAAGATTTTTGAAATTATCTTAACAGATCATTTAAATAAAAAAATAGACTTTTGGCGTGAATTGTAAAAAGATTTTTTGAATTGTAAAAAATGGTCTTTTGGCAAATTGTAAAAAAGATTTTTGAAATTATCTTAATGGCATGGGATTATCTTACAATAAAAGCAACCAATGTTCCATCAGAACGTGCTTTCTCAGTTGCTGGAAATACAATCAGTAGGTGCAGAATTGCTTATTGCCAGAAACTGCAAGAGCATGAAGAGTTGGATAATCAATAAAGTAGGGGTTTAGAGTGCTAGAATAATATTCTCAAAATTACTTATATATTTTTTTCCTTATGTTTTTTTGTAATTCTATACTAATTACTAATAAAAAATCATCAATGTTTGTTTTATTTTATGCACTTTTTTTTGTATATTAATATCTATCATATTCATTCATTGTTTGTCCGTTTATTCGTTATTTACATAATAATAATAATAATAATAATAATAATAATATTTAATTTAATTTATTTGAATATTAATAAGTCACGTTATTCGTATTAATCATTCCTTTTAAGGAAAGATTAACTCAGGATTTCCTCATATAGGTATAAATCACATGGTGAACGGTTAGAACTCGGTTCTGGAACCGGTTCGCGGTTCTGTGTTCGGTTCGGTTCAGAACCGGTTCCCTAGTGGAACCGCCCCATCCCTAACCACACTTGGTTTATTAGTTACTTACGGTCAAAGACTATTTTATGTAAGGTTATATATTTATTAAGAGTTATTATTATTATGTTGTTATCAAGGTTGTTATTAATAATATTAACAATTGATTTATTAATTATTCTTCTTAACTTGGTCTAAAGCCAAGTGTATTTATACCTCTTGGGGCAGTACAAATAATGTGATATGTGCTACTCTACTCTCCAATAATATGCTTATCAACTAATTACTAATTCTAAATAAATATTTACATCAAGATGAGAAGGTTAATAGATATAAATATAGAAATATGAATAGGAATAGTCTTTCATATGACACTGCGCAATGTGCGGCGTAGCCGTTATAATAATATAAATAATATTTAGCGCATCACATGACTTCCGTAGTAAATTTGTCTAATTAGTCAATATTAACCGGGTAATTGATAGGTCCAAGATTTACTATCTCACACTTCGAATAAACCAATGATTCTATTAATTCATGAGAAAGATCACCTTGCAAAGATTCAATATAAGAACTCTCATGCCAATTTGGTTCAACATTAAAAGATTTATTTAAAATTACAAAACTGACTGCTCTGGCAAATTTTGGACTATAATCTCATCCCAAACAACAAATACTTAATGGTAAGTGTGTCCAGTATCCCATCCACTTGGAGAAGCTTTCTAAAGCCTTTTTGACTCCAAGGTTTATTTAACATTGAGATTTTCAAATTCATCTTCAAGAAGTGTAATATTAGCTTCATTATATTCTTCACTGAAATAACAAGATTTTTCTAATTCTTTCAGCCACACTAACACTTGATCTGGCAATTCATGTACTCTATTACCTAATGGAAGGCAATGTAAAGATCCATCATTAAATATTCGAGGAGTTGGATCAAATCTGGTAAGGAAGACAAATACTTTTTCATAAAAAGATTCTCCAAACTTCACCATGAATTTTATTTGAATGTTTAAAATGGGATTTTGTAACCATTCAATAAACAATTGCCATTTTTTGATATAAGTTTTAGGAACAGATCTTGAATTTTCTAATTCATTAACAAACCAGGTTGCAAATTTAAGGTGAAATTCTTTCCTCTTTAAATATTGCTTGGCAGTTTTTAATTGGTACAACCACCAACTGGTAATAGGTTTTTGGTATTGTTTCAATGGATATTGGAACAATGTCTAATACAGGGCTTTAATTGTTTCAGCTTTCATGTTTATTGGATTGTCTTTATCACTGTCTTTATAACCATCATGAAGATGATAAGCCAAGTTTAAGAGATTGAAAGGATGGTCATGAAGTGATAATCCAGAAGGTGAGTTAAGTTTTCCAAAAGCTTCATTTTCAAATGGTTAACTGCAATATGCACTGAGTGTACACCACAAGGAATTCAAAAAGCTCTGGATTGAGATCTCAAATTAAAACCTATAACAGAACCTGATTTTATACCAGACATATGGGCAGTATTATCTGTAAGCCAAAAATTGCACTTTTTAGTATCAAAATCATATTCATTACATGTTTCAATTACAGTGTTTGCAACTTCTATTGCAGTACACCGATCAATATCTTTCATTTTTGCCAATGTAAGTGTTGGTTCTTCCTTATCATTATCCCAATAAGCAAAACACACTAAAAATATCTTCTTATCCCCCCTAGTGCTTTCATCTACCATTACACAATAAGAAAAAAATCATGATTTCGATTCAACATTTAGTTTTTGGGATACAAACAGATGGACAACTTCTTTATTCCAACATGATATTGTACTAGTTGTAATGCACTTCTCCGGTTCTTGTCCTGTCAAGAAAGTATATATTGTTTTTGCACACTCTACAGTTGAAGAAATTGAAATACTCCCTGTATTACTAATATCAGTTGCAAGCTTCATAAATCCTGGAGAGTATTCTTTTTTATTTATTTTCTACTTCCTTCCTAAACTGATCTTGTGAAATATATTTTTTTTTTTTGTATAGCTCAAATCATTCCTATATGTCTGACTTTAGCTTTCTCTCCTTGTGCTACCTTTGTTCTAAGAGACCGAGTACATGATTCCAAATTCTCTTTATTTTTTTGTGATCTTTTATTTTCTTTTTCCAATTGTTTAATTTTATCTTGCATTTCTGAAACAGAAGAGGTCTGTTTGTTCAATCCTGCAATAACAAATTCTTTAGCTTTATTTACAACATAAGGTGACAGAACTCTTCCTACACAACATCCCTTTGGATAAGTCATAGTTTTAAAAAGATGACAAGCAGCAACTATATCATCATCAAGTAGAGATTTAATATTATCCATTAAGTCAGATCTCTTTTTTTCTAATCTTTTTTTATGAGTTGTAATTTTTTTAATTTCTTGATCATTACTTAATGTACTAGTTATATCTGTAATTTCAGGTATTTTATTCATCATAGTAATAGGTCTACAATTGATCGCATTATGAGCTTTTTTTAAAATAATTGTATGTTTATTTGGCCGTCCCATTTTGATGATATCATATAAATAACAGTTTGAGATATAATAACAAAACACAACTTTGATTAGAATAATTATTATTATAAATAAAGAAGTTATAAGAAATTGTATAATAATATTTTTAATGGCTGTAAATTGTTTGGCCAGAAATTATAAAATTTAAATGTAACACTAAAATTTAGTCAAAATATATTCACAAGATTACAAAAACCAATATAACTCTTAAACTATATGACATATCTAAATAAAATGACATGGTTTGGATTCGCATTTTGATGCTCTTTAGGTGTATAGAGAGCTTTTTACAATTTTATTTGCATAAAATTTTGTATCATATATACATAACTTTCCTTTTTTTCTTTTAGCTTAAAATAAGTGATATAATTTATATTAAAATTAAAAAAACCTCTCTATAGGGGCATTGCCCTATCCTTGTAATATATTTTAAACTTAATTTGGAATGTGTGACTCTGTTCTTTAAAGAGTTATTTTCATTCAAAGTTTACTATTAAAAAAAAGACTGATGAAAAATCCTTCTTAATAAAAATTTATATATGTGATCGACTATGTTTGTAAATCATATGATGTGGGACACCCCATTGGGATATTCTGTTATTTTTTAGCAGGCTTGAATAATAAGTTTATTAATGGCATCAAAGCAGAAATAGGTTATATGTTGGTGCATCAACATCAGCAATTGAAACATTTGCAGGAGCTGAAATAAGTATTAGGTATGAAACAGTTATAAAACATAAAAAAAGGAATGAATTAATTTACTCTGAGACAGTTGGAGAATTTGTTTCAGAACACAAAAGCATTAATATATATTATATATTTATCTGAATTGTTATTATAATTGTATTAACCATATCAAGAATAATGTCAATGGGCAGATGGATAATTTAATGATTCTTAATTTGGATGATTATCACAATATTCATACAAAGAGACATGCCTTCAAAACAATTCCATTGAAAGCAGCACCTAGGATTCCAGCTCCTCCTTTTAACAACCCATTTACAGATAAGGATATTCACAACAAGGCATTGATCATAATCTTATCCCTTAAACGGTCACATTAATAAATTTCGGATTTTTTAATGGAACACAAAATTTAAAAATTGAATGTAGCACGAAAATTTAATTGACGTTTTTAAAAGAACTTGATATTAATAATGTTATATTTCTTTTAATGTGTGAAATTTCATCATCACCATCATCGTTTGTTTCATATTCTTCATTAAATATAGTTAAAGACATTTTCCTGATGATATTGCATGAATACTTGTCAATTTCTCCAAAATCATGAATAGTTTTTTCAATACTCATTTTTTTTTAAAAAAATATTAATTTGAAAATTTAATTAAAGAATAGTTGATTTATTTCAATAAAATTCGAAAAAAAATGAAAGAACTTACTTCCCTTATATATTTTTTTTGAAAGCGATAGTACATTTTATCTTTTATTTTAAACTTCGGGCGAATCTTTGGTGATCTGCAAATTTGTTACATGAAATAATGACCATTTTTTTGACTTTTAAAGAAGGTTTTACAAAAACAATATTAATAGCAGCCAAATTTTTATTTATAGATTGTATTATTTTGACCTAAAGATCATTTTCATATTAGGAAGTGATACAATCCGAACTAAATTTGGGGTGGTTTATATGTAAAGGGTCAATATATCAACCCTTTGACCATTTAAGGGATAATACAATCTATTGAAATCTCAAATGTGGTTGAATATAAAATATTTAGATAAATTATATATATATATTTCAATTGAAAATTTTTTGAAATTTCATTGATCCCTCCCCAAAACTACCTATTTTTTGTGAACTTTTCCTAATTAGTATATACAATAAAATATATCAAAATTTCAAGTGTGGTTAAATGTAAATTATTTAGTGAAAAGTGAGGAAAACCATGTATTTATTGTTTTCTTTTCAATTGAACTTTTTTGAAATTTCCCAAAATTAGCAACACTATTTCTCATTTTTTTGTGAACTCTAATTAGCATCTATAACATATTATATCAAAATTTCAAGTGTGTTTAAATATAAAACATAGTAAGAAAAGACTGATGATAATGTTTTTCCAATGAAATCTTTTGAATAATTGCTAATTATAATAATTATTTTTCAAATTTTGTTTAGCCAGGGATAGATGAACAAGATATTGTTTCAAGGGAATATTTAATTGGGACATGTTTTTTATGTCAAATCTGCCTTAGATGCAAAGTAGATTAAAATTTTCTAGATTGTGATTGTGAATTGGAAAAAAAATCTGTTAAAAAAAACAAAAACAAAGATTTAATTCAAGAAAAATTGATCTAACCTCAAATACTTTAAAAGAGCAACAAATACTTTTATTGAAAGAAAAAAATAGATATTATGAATATGGTTTTAGTTTCACCAAAAGTTTTTCTTTTTTTTCTTTGTAATAGCTGTAATTCAAACCTTCCTTCATAGATCAAAATATAAAATACATACAACTCTACCAACTCAAGAATTCATTACTGCTGCTACTATTACTCAACTAAACCAAGAATTCATTGCTGTTGCTACCACTACTCAATTAAATCAAGAATCTACTACCACTACTACTACTCAACCAACTCAAGAATTCATATTTCAATAAAAAAATGTTATCATTAGTCTTTTCTTACTATGTTTTATATTTAAACACACTTGAAATTTTGATATAATATGTTATGGATGCTAATTAAAGAGAGTTCACAAAAAAATGAGAAATAGTGTTGCTAATTTTGGGAAATTTCAAAAAAGTTCAATTGAAAAGAAACAATAAATACATGGTTTTCCTCACTTTTCACTAAATATTTTACATTTAACTACACTTGAAATTTTGATATATTTTAATGTATATACTAATTAGGAAAAGTTCACAAAAAATAGGTAGTTTGGGGAGGGATCAATGAAATTTCAAAAAATTTCAATTGAAAATAAAATATATATAATTTTATTTTTCACTAAATATTTTATATTCAACCACTTGAGATTTCGATATATATATTATAAAGTTTAATTAGGAAAAGTTCATTAAAAAACTGAATTAAAAAAATATTAAAATTAATAGTTTTATAATATTTATCTTTTGCAACAAGAGAATTTTGTAAAAAAAAATTATGGGTAACATGGATCTGCAAAAATCAACCATTTTGCAAACCACAATAATAATTAATACATTATTGGGAATTAAAACATTAATATCACATTGTAATTTATTTTTAAATGAGGAACATGAGAAAGTAGTGATGGGCGTAAAATTATTTTGAAAAATGACCAAGTTATTAAGTGTTAAAAACACAAACATGCAGATCTCTTATTGGTAGCAAATCTGTCTGTTTAATCAAATATTAATTTGATAAACAAGTTAATAATTAATTTAGTACTGTGCATAAAATTCAGTGTGCAGAGTGTGCATGCTAACCAAATTTGATAAATTTTTTCCAAATCTGCTGAATTTGGTTAGCACAGCACATTCCACATGCTGAATTCTATACACTGGGATTGATTCACAAAATGGATCTTTTGGATTAATAACTCTCACTCAGAGTGCAACGTTTAATAAGTGGTTATTAACTATTAATAACTTGGAGTTATTAAGTGTAGGGTTAAAAATTCCCATCACTATGAGAAAGAGGAAAATACAACTAGTTTATTTTATTTTTTTATCAATTTTTGTTTGCTCTATACCATTTATACCCGGTATATGCCATGGTATATAACTGGTATAAATATGGTATATACCCTCAAATCTTTTATAACATGTTATATACCATTCATAATTACGGAGAACGTATTAGTTGATGATAACAAATGTAAATTTATGATTATGTGGATCAGAATGAATTAATTGGCTATTACTAACGAATCAGTTTTATTGGCGAATAATTTTTGTTTAATTTATTAACTTATTTCAAAGTTATTTTACAAGTATGTTGAATTCAATTAATTTAGTTGCGATCTTGCACTCTAATTACTATTTAACCTTTTAAATGCGACATAGCACTTTTCTACGTAAATAAAGTTAACTAACACGACATTATACGAGATAAATAAACAATGAATTATCAAATAATAATAATGGTGAGGCGGTCACATTTTTCTTCGAATCATATCAATCGGAAGTTGATCATTTTCAACAGAGATAGGCAGATCATCTAATTCAAGTTACTATGGAACCAAATTCAAAAACTCTCGATCTCGATATTTCTAACTGTGATAACCGTAATTCAGACGTTAACAATCTTTATACTTATAATCTTAATAATGCAAGCTCTGGTTTTTATAATTATAACGTTCCAAATCTTGATTTTCCAAGTCCCAATGTTGCTGTTTATGATCATTCAAATGTCGACATCCTTGCTACTGAAATCTATGTTGAAACTAAAGATAAAATGGCTGTTGACGCTAATATTTATTCTGCTGCAGCGAGAATTGGAAATTTGTCCGCAACGAAAGCGGGTATTAGCAATGGTATTCAAGAGAAAGTTGCAAAAGTTATCTACGAGTCATCAAAGGTAACTAACTAGCCAAGATAAAAACTTTTGAAAATAAATCTTTTTATATCCCAGTATTTTAAATACATATAATAACAATTAGGATTCAGAATTTTACAAAAATGAAGTGAGAAAAGATGAACTTGTAAATAAAAAGATCGAAGGAATTCTGGATTCTTATACATTTCTCAAAAGTCAAGATTTAAGTAATGATCAAGTCAAAGTAGATAAAATTTTGGAAAATCTTGCATTGAAAAGAAATTATTCTCGTGTTATCATGCACATTGATATGGATGCATTCTATGCATCGGTGGAGATGAGAGATAATCCATCACTCAAGGATATTCCAATGGCTGTTGGTGATATATCAATGTTATGCACAGCTAATTATGTTGCTAGAAAGGTAAGAAAATATTTTAATAATTTAATTAAATGAATTAAAAAATAAGTTTTTGTTTGTTTAAATAATACTTTTAGTATGGAGTTAGGAGTGCAATGCCTGGTTTTATAGCAAAACGCCTTTGTCCAACGCTAGTTATAGTACCTTTGAATTTTGTTAAATATCGCGAAGCATCTAGTAAAATCCATAAAATTTTAAAATTATACGATCCAAATCTCAGATCCGTGGGACTTGATGAGGCATATCTAGATATAACAGACTATTTAGACAATACAACGATAACACCCGATCAACTGGCACAACGAATAAGATCTGAAATTAAAAATGAAACTGGACTAATTGCAAGTGCTGGAATTGGACCAAATTTGCTGCTGGCAAAAGTAATGGATTATAATTATTATATTATATTGTTTTATTATCATAATAATAAATTATAATTTTGTTTTGTTTATAATTGTTCTGTTAATTTAGGTTTGTTCGGACATCAACAAACCCAACGGTCAATATGATCTTTCTAATTTACTAGAAGAAGAAATTTTAGAATTTGTCAAAAGTCTTGAGATCCGCAAAATAAAGGGAATAGGTCGGGTAACTGGAAAGATATTAAATGCACTTGAGGTTTACAAATGTAATGACATTTTGGTAAAAAGAGTTTATTTATACAAGTTACTTCCTCAAGTTTCTTTTAATTTCCTGATAAGAGTGGCTCTTGGAATTGGACCAGTAAATGTTGGAGAGTAATTAATCATATCCATTTATTTAACTAATTAATTTGGTTTAATTTATGATTGTGATAATTTAATTTATGATTTTTCAAAGAAAATTTGTACGTAAAAGTATGAGTTTTTCTAGAACTTTTAAAGATTGTAATGACAAGAATGCCTTAATCAAATATCTTAAAACCTTTTCAAGTAACTTGGCGTACGATTTAGCAACAGAAAATCTAGAGGTGATCATTTAAAAATTTTTATTATACCAAAACCTTTTTCTATATATACCTTCAATAACATTATCATTAATAGGGACGTATTGTTATTCTTAAATATAAAGAAACAAATTTTGTATCTCATACAAAAAATAAAAAATTACCAACCTACATAAATACCGCAGAAGATATTTTCAATTATTCTAGAAAGGTATAATTAAATCTTTTAATGACAATAATTTTTTTGATTATTGGCCATATTTTCTATAAATATGAAAAAAAAATTTCTTTTTTAATGAAAATTAGTTACTTGAGAGTCTAGGGGATGTTAATCTTCGAAATTTGGGTGTTGGATTGTCAGATTTGAGAAGTCGCGATTTTGCAGAAATTAATGGGATAAAAAGAGTAAATTTATTGATTAATTTATTAAGTCGTACATATAATTGTTAATATTTGTTTGAATAACCAATTCTATACAACTTT